AAGAGATTGGACATGTCTAACAATACATCAAGCTGTTAATTATTCTTAATTTTGATTGCTTATTTCATTTAAAAAATAGATTACTAAGCTGTAAATTGGATTGAGATAATGTAGGTACATTGTCAGCCACAAAAGTTCATAAAGATATTATTCTGCATCAAGAGTTAGATAAAATATAAAAAAAAAAAGATAATTATTATTTTGAAGTTTGAGTTTCCCATACAATTTTCAAGTACTGGATGAAAGAAAAACATGATAACAGAGGCTTATTCTCAGGGGAAAGGCTTTTGCCAGGCAGGTTCTGTAAACCTTGGAAGCTGAGTTATTTTGCAGGATAAATTTTCTTCAAATAGATGAACTTTCTATGAGACAATTTTTCACTTCTCTGGAAGTTATTTAGCTTTTTGTTTGCTTTTAGATAAGGGTCTTGCTATGTTGCCCAGGCTAGTCCTAACTCCTGTACTCAAGGGATCCTTCCATCTCAACCTCCCAAATAACTAAGACTATGTTTTTATTTTTAATTTGTTGTAACTACTATGACTAAATAAAGCCCAAGTATAGTGCAAACATTCCTTGATGTGAAATATTTCCTATCAGTGTGAGTCTACTTGTAATTTACATTGTGGACATTTATTTTGAAAACACCTTGCTTTCCTCTTCAGCTTGGCAATCTGTTAAAACTTACTCACCTTGATTTGAGTATGAACCATTTTACTACAATCCCTCCTGCTGTGTTGAACATGCCTGCCCTTGAGTGGCTAGACATGGGAAGCAACAGACTTGAACAACTTCCTGATACTATAGAAAGGTAAAATAAATAACTTTTTGTACTACCAACAAATGTCTTGAACCACTTATGAATAATAAGAAATAACAAACTAAACAAGACAAAAGGAATCCCAAGCATAATCAATCACAGTCGGTCCATTTGGTTTGAACTATGCTATGTTTTAACAGAATATTTCCATTTATTCCAATAAGTAAAAGCATTTTGGAAGAGGAAAAGTGACTATCTGACTTTAAGAAATAACAAGAATATGCCCCAATAACAACGTTGATTAGTACATGCCAGGCACTTCTATGCACTTTACAAAGGAATGAAGAAACTAACACACAGAGATGTTAGCTAAGTTGTTGCCCAGGGCCACAGTGAGTGAGTGGCCAAGCAGGATTTGAACTTAGGTAGCCTGGCCCAGAGTCCATGCTGTTAACCATTATGCATATTGCCTTCCCCTAAATGGGCATATTAATAATTGATTTTTCTCTTAAGACACCAACTCAAATTAGATGACATTTACAGCAGTTCTTCTCTAAAATCCTATGGAATAGTGAAGAATGCTAGACTACACTGATTTCATTTCTACCACCATGTGATATGAGAGTTATACAATAGAGATTAACTCCTGATATAGTTTCCCCAATAATCAGGTAATGTGAAGTCAGTTAACTCAATAAGCGTACTGGTTAAAGGAAATGTAAAAGATGCCGTATCTTTGATTTTAACATAATGAGAACCATATTATGGTTCATATTATTATTTAACACAATAATCACAATTATGTATGATTAATTGCAGAAACCTCTCTAATTTTTCAGAATGCAAAGTCTGCATACATTATGGCTGCAACGGAATGAAATAACATGCTTGCCAGAAACCATTAGCAAAATGAAAAATCTGGGTACTCTTGTTCTCAGCAATAATAAACTGCAAGATATCCCAGTTTGCATGGAAGAAATGGCAAATCTGAGGTAAAAGTTATAGATACAAAACTGACATGTTTCTTTCTGGCCACAGAACAAAGCAATATAGAGATTGTTATTAATAAATTCAGGTTCTTATAAGAATGGATACATTTTAAAAATCATTTCCAATGTTGAAACTCTATAATTAAGATGAATAGGATTCATATAATACTGGTCAGTGTATTCAGAAAGAATCTTTGAAACTAAAGCAGTATTAGGATTTATCTGCTTTAGGAAATGTCCTCTATTGGTAACATTTTCATAAAAATTATATAGCTAACAAACCTCCTTGTAATATGAAAATCAAAAAGCATAAAAATAGTCATTATTTCCTCCTAAATAACTACAAATGGACACAACAACTGTTACCAATAGAAGTAGATATAACTTTTTGCTAATTATCAAAACTCTCTAAAGTGTTATTTTAAATTTAATTTCCTGACATAGAGAATACACACCAAAACATCAAACTTCCACAACAAAATCATTCATTCATTCACTTATTTAGCAATATCTGCCTTGTACAGGATGAAGACAAAATAATAAATAACACACAGATCCGTAAAATACCAGAAACTAAGCTCATAGCATTAACTGTATACTTAAGTGCATTAAAATTGCTCTTAAAAGTTAAACTGATTAATTTCTTTCTGTTTATAGTAGAGACGGGGTCTCGCTCTTGCTCAGGCTGGTTTTGAACTCCTGACCTTGAGCAATCCGCCCGCCTCGGCCTCCCAGGAGCTAGGATTACAGGCGTGAGCCACAGCGCCCGGCCTCAGTTTAACTTTTAATAGCAATTTTAATGCACCTTAAGTATACAGTTAATGCTATGAGCTTAGTTTCTGGTATTTTACGGATCTGTGTGTTATTTATTATTTTGTCTTCACCATCTAGTACAAGGCAGATAGTTGCTAAATAAGTGAATGAATGAATGATTTTGTTGTGGAAGTTTGATGTTTTGGTGTGTATTCTCTATGTCAGGAAATTAAATTTTAAAATAACACTTTAGAGAGTTTTGATAATAATTAGCAAAAAGTTATATCTACTTCTATTGGTAACAGTTGTTTGTGTCCATTTGTAGTTATTTAGGAGGAAATAATGACTATTTTTATGCTTTTTGATTTTCATATTACAAAGGAGGCTTTGTTAGCTATATAATTTTTATGAAAATGTTACCAATAGAGGACATTTCCTAAAGCAGATAAATCCTAATACTGCTTTAGTTTCAAAGATTCTTTCTTGAATACACCGACCAGTATTATATGAATCCTATTCATCTAATTATAGAGTTTCAACATTGGAAATGATTTTTAAAATGTATCCATTCTTATAAATAAGAACCTGAATTTATTAATAACAATCTCTATATTGCTTTGTTCTGTGGCCAGAAAGAAACATGTCAGTTTTGTATCTATAACTTTTTACCTCAGATTTGCCATTTCTTCCATGCAAACTGGGATATCTTGCAGTTTATTATTGCTGAGAACAAGAGTACCCAGATTTTTCATTTTGCTAATGGTTTCTGGCAAGCATGTTATTTCATTCCGTTGCAGCCATAATGTATGCAGACTTTGCATTCTGAAAAATTAGAAGAGGTTTCTGCAATTAATCATACATAATTGTGATTATTGTGTTAAAATAATAATATGAACCATAATATGGTTCTCATTATGTTAAAAATCAAAGATACGGCATCTTTTACATTTCCTTTAACCAGTACGCTTATTGAGTTAACTGACTTCACATTACCTGATTATTGGGGAAACTATATCAGGGAGTTAATCTCTATTGTATAACTCTCATATCACATGGTGGTAGAAATGAAATCAGTGTAGTCTAGCATTCTTCACTATTCCATAGGATTTCTTAGAGAAGAACTGCTGTAAATGTCATCTAATTTGAGTTGGTGTCTTAAGAGAAAAATCAATTATTAATATGCCCATTTAGGGGAAGGCAATATGCATAATGGTTCACAGCATGGACTCTGGGGCCAGGCTACCTAAGTTCAAATCCTAGCTTGGCCACTCACTCACTGTGGCCCTGGGCAACAACTTAGCTAACATCTCTGTGTGTTAGTTTCTTCATTCCTTTGTAAAGTGCATAGAAGTGCCTGGCATGTACTAATCAACGTTGTTATTGGGGCATATTCTTGTTATTTTCTTAAAGTCAGATAGTCACTTTTCCTCTTCCAAAATGCTTTTACTTATTTGGAATAAATGGAAATATTCTGTTAAAACATAGCATAGTTCAAACCAAATGGACCGACTGTGATTGATTATGCTTGGGATTCCTTTTGTCTTGTTTAGTTTGTTATTTCTTATTATTCATAAGTGGTTTCAAGACATTTGTTGGTAGTACAAAAAGTTATTTATTTTACCTTTCTATAGTATCAGGAAGTTGTTCAAGTCTGTTGCTTCCCATGTCTAGCCACTCAAGGGCAGGCATGTTCAACACAGCAGGAGGGATTGTAGTAAAATGGTTCATACTCAAATCAAGGTGAGTAAGTTTTAACAGATTGCCAAGCTGAAGAGGAAAGCAAGGTGTTTTCAAAATAAATGTCCACAATGAATTACAAGTAGACTTACACTGATAAAGGAGATATTTCACATCAAGGAATGTTTGCACTATACTTGGGCTTTATTTAGTCATAGTAGTTCACAACAAACTAAAAATAAAAACATAGTTTTAGTTATTTGGGAGGTTGAGATGGGAGGATCCCTTGAGTACAGGAGTTTGAGACTAGCCTGGGCAACATAGCAAGACCCTTATCTCAAAAGCAAACAAAAAGCTAAATAACTTCCAGAGAAGTGAAAAATTGTCTTATAGAAAGTTCATCTATTTGAAGAAAATTTATCCTGCAAAATAACCAGCTTCCAAGGTTTACAGAACCTGCCTGGCAAAAGCCTTTTTTCCCCCTGAGAATAAGCCTCTGTTATCATGTTTTTCTTTCATCCAGTACTTGAAAATTGTATGGGAAAACTCAAACTTCAAAATAATAATTATCTTTATTGAACTTTTGTGGCTGACAATGTACCTACATTATCTCAATCCAATTTACAGCTTAGTAATTCTATTTTTTAAATGAAATAAGCAATCAAAAATTAAGAATAATTTAACAGCTATGTATGTAGTATGGGGTCCACTAGAAAAAAGAAAAAAATATATAAAAGATTAAAAATATTTCAAAAAAAATAATAATTTAACACCACCAGCATAATGTGCTCAGCGTAAGAAAGAAAATGTATTGATATGAGTGCACCTACTATATGCTGCTTGCTTCCTCTCCAGAGATAGTGCCTGTTCAGAATTTGATAGCCATCATTCCCATGCATATTTTTTATGTTTTTATGACTATATATTAAATAAGTTGCCTGGGATAGAGTGCAGTGGCATCATCATAACTCACTGCAACCTCAAACTCCTGGGCTCGAGCGGTCCTCTTGCCTCAGCCTCCCGAATAGCTGGGACTACAGGTGTGGGCCACTAAACCTAGCTAATTTTTTTATTTCTTGTAGAGATAGGATCTCACTGTGTTGCTCAGGCCAGTCTCGAACTCCTGGTTTCAAGTGATCCTCCTACGTTGGCCTCCCAAAGTGCTAGGATTACAGGCATCAGCTACCATGCCCAGCCTATATTACTATATATATTACCACTATACATATGCTTTCATAAAATTTTGTATTTTTATGTTTTTTAAACTTAAGGATTATGATATCATACTTATCTTTCTTTAACTTGCTTTTTTCTCTCAATATCAATGTTTAAATGATTCATGTTGATGCGTATGGCTCTAGTTTATTCATTTTTAAAATATCTCTTTAGTTATCTGTGTTCCCTATCCTCAGTCCAAGAAAATTGTGAGTATATAAATTGTCCACCATTATACTTAAATTGGTTCATTTTATATATGTGGATATATGAATATAATGGCTCAGACAGGTCATGTAACCCCAAATGATAGAGCTACCATGTGAATTCAAGTTTTTGTGGACCTAACGCCACAAAATTTCTTCCTTTTTTCAGCATAACATCCTAGTAAACGTTTTAAGTTGTAACAATTTAATTAACTTTTATTTAAAAACTCTCCATTTAGTTGGTAAGATTCTATGTTTTATTTCTGTCTCAGGGCATGTTCAGATTCCTACTACATTTCCATTGCATAAAAGTACATAAATACAATGGTCTGTAGATAGTGCAAAAAAGCAGAAGGGTTCCATCTAGTAGATGATGCTATTTCTCCAGTTTTAGAATTCAAGCTATAAAGTTTTTCAAAATCTGCCATTAGACTGTTGGAATTTTCAAATAGTTCAGAATAGAGTATAAAATAATCACTTTTACATTAGCATATATATGCTTGTGTGTATACCATGTGTGCAATTTAATGGCTGAAAAATGAGTTTCCAATTGCTGGTTTCTTAGTAATTTTTTTTTTTTGAGACAGAGTCTCGCTTTGTTGCCCAGGCTAGAGTGAGTGCCATGGCGTCAACCTAGCTCACAGCAACCTCAAACTCCTGGGCTCAAGCGATCCTCCTGCCTCAACCTCCCAAGTAGCTGGGACCACAGGCATGCACCACCATGCCCGGCTAATTTTTTCTATATATATTAGTTGGCCAATTAATTTCTTTCTATTTATAGCAGAGACGGGGTCTCACTCTTGCTCAGGCTGGTTTCGAACTCCTGACCTCAAGCAATCAACCCGCCTCAGCCTTCCAGAGTGCTGGGATTACAGGTGTGAGCCACCACACCCGGCCAGTAATTCTGATTTTAGAAGACTGAAAAGATAATAAAGTTAACAGTCTTAATTTTGCATTTGTGAAAACTGAGACCTCGTTATATAAAGTAGTGTGTTCAAAGAAGGCCACATAGCTACTTAGAGGCTACACATTTGGAATTAATCCTGGGATCAAGATTTCAGTTCAGTATTTGTTCACTATAACCTGTTCAGGTAAAGAATGGTTAATAGACATGCACAAATTCACATAGCTTTTATAGTGACAAAGCCAGTGCTAGAAACAAAGTCACATAAATTAGAAATAAAATATTTATTGGCCCTCTTTTATGTGTAAGAAATTGTTGATGATCATTTTTATTGTATGCAAGGGCATACGTTTCATTAAGTGGAACTATTATAAGATGAAATATATATATATACACACACACACATTATTTTACTTGCAAGAGCAACAATTATTGCTAATATTAACTGGTTCAGAAAAAAAATTCTGACATGCTTATCAAAATAAAGTGAAAGAAATGGAATAGTCTTTCTCTTTTATTATTTTTCCTAACTTTTATCTTGTAAAGTTATTCTTTTCAAAGGCAAAGCACCATGGAAATTTCCTTTGCTGATTCTAAGAGCATTAAATATGTTTGAAAAGTTATGCAAATGTCTATTTTTTATATGATCAATTTGCTTTCACCAATAACAAGACATCATAAAAAATCAAAGTTTGAAGGCATTCCAATCACATTGCCTTGCTTTCACTTGATAGAGTCTAGGAAGCTAGAAGAAACATACTTCCTATAAGATTTCATGTTTTACATTTCACCTCCATCTCAAAAAACCGATCACTGTATAAAAACCAAGTAGTAAACAGAGTGTTTTTCTATCACCACATTGTGCTTTATGATAATCATTTATTCAATCAAAAAGCATTTATTAATTAATCACTACAACCTTGGCTCTGCCCTGAATTCTAAGAATATAAACAAAACTCTCACTCTGGGCTTCAAGGAGATCACAGTCTAGTCAACAAATGATATCAGCACTGTGAACAATAATAGAAGTATCTTTTACACTAAATAGATCTTTCTCCCACCTTGATCTCCCAATGTACTAAGATTACAGGCATAAGCCACAGTGCCAGGCCTCTAATCTTTCTCTAATTAAAACCCTACATTATACTTAGAATAAAAGGCAATGGTTTTCACTAAATATTTTTTCCTGAAATAAAATTCGTAGCATCTCCTCTTTATTTTTATTGTTAACAATCACGTAATTGAGAAATAAAGTCCTAGTAAATAAAAAATAAAACCGTAGGCATTTATATCTTTCTGACCTCTTGTGGAAGATCACATATATCTCTGTTAACTGCCAGTTCTATTTTCTCCAAGCTGGCACAGTGACTTAGTTCCTTGGGGACAGTCTTGATTTTGTTGTAGCTAAGAATCAGTTCCTGAAGTCTAGTTAGCAGTCCTACAAAAAAATAATGTACAATAGAAAGATGTATATAAAATAATCTTTCCAGTTATCAAGTATTACAGCATAACTTACTTGTCAGTTTTGTATTGGCAAATTCACAGTTCTTAGTCTCTTCCCTTTTCCCAGTCTGTGTCCTGCCCCTTCTTTAAATAAGGGACAGGTTTTTCAGTGCTATAGGCAAAAACAAAAAACTATTTTCATTTTGTTTTATCTGTACGATCTTGAGCAATTTTTCCATTTTGGTTTCTTTTTCCCCCATTTGAGGAATCTTTCTGTTTTTTCTTTCTTGCCTTCAATCTGTTCTTGTCTAAGGAGAATAGCTGAGTCAGCAATATTGTTTCCAAACTCTACAGAATATTTCCAAAGAGGCTTTCTCACAATGAAATCTCATTTTGAATCACTTTAATAAATCCAGAAGCTTGGATACCCTGGAAGCTTCAATTTAGATTACATGTTTAAAATTTTCTCAAGACTCAGGGATATATAAAGAGATCTTTATTCTATATATCAAAAAAAAAAAAATGAAAAGCACATCTGCAGGTGGATAAAATGGCATAGGAATAAAAGCAATCTTCCTTACCAATTCCTCGTGGTATCTCTGAAATTGCATTTCGAGATAAATCTAATATAATAAGGTTCTGGAATCTTCCAATGAATTCAGGAATTTTCAGCAAACCGGTTCTATGGAGTTGCCACTCTTGTAGCTGATTCAGTTTCAGTAGAGAAGAAGGGAGAGTCTAAACTCAAGTAAAAGAAATGGCAGTCACAATAGTACTTAAATTATTTTAGTATAATGCCACACTGAAATGTGATATTTGCTTGTAAAAGTACTTTAGAATATGTTTCCCTTAATGGGTTACCTTTCCAAGTACTTTGTGTTACTTCTACGTTTTTTTTGTTGTTGTTGTGTTGTTTTGTTTTGTTTGTTTTTTGAGACAGAGTCTCACTCTGTTGGCCGGGCTAGAGTGCTGTGGTGTCAGCCTGGCTCACAGCAACCTCAAACTCCTGGGCTCAAGTAATCCTTCTGCCTTAGCCTCCCTTGTAGCTAGGACTACAGGTACATGCCACCCTGCCTGGCTAATTTTTTCTATGTATATTTTTAGTTGTCCAGCTACTTTCTTTCTATTTTTAATAGAGACAGGGTCTCTCTCTTACTCAGGCTGGTCTCAAACTCCTGAACTCAAACAATCCACCTACCTCGGCCCTCCAGAGTGCTAGGATTACAGGTGTGAGCCACCGTGCCCGGCCGTACTTCTAAGTTTTAAGACTATTACTTTTATTTTTTAGCTAAGCCTTCAAACCTTTGGTCAATAGTGCACACATACAGCAGTATGTCCTAATGATTCTGTTATACGGTATTAGGCCTTCCTAAAGTGCACATGCTATTGAAAATGAAACTATCCAAAAAAAATCATTTTAATAATTCAAATTGTTTTCCACTTCTGATTTGAAGTATTTTATAAGATTATTTTTAAAGAGGATTTTAATTTAAGGATTTTAAGAGTTTCAACTATTCTGAATTCTGTGCCTTTTCCCTTTCAGCCTAAAATAGCCAGAAGAGAAAATAAAGGAGCTAACCCCCTACCTAAATGTATCTCTACGCATAAAAACACTGACCCAAGGATTAGAAGCCCTTGAAAAATTAGAGTATGTCTAATGTAAATAAACAATTATGAGTTTGTGTGTCTATATAAGTATGAGGAGAGAAAGAGAGAAAGAATATGAATTAGGTGGTAGAACTAACAAAAAATTTAATATTCATCTCCATTTTGTGAAGTTTTAACTGAGCCTTTCTTCAGACGAGCTATATGATTTTCATTAGGCAGATGGTCATCTTTTTTATGGGAAGTGAGAAATTGATTATTAGGATTAATAGGAGAAATACCACAAATGACTTTAAGTTTAGGCAGGGTTAAAGCAAATTGAATTTTTTGCAAAAAACTGTAAAGTTATATTTCTTTTCAGTTGCTCATGTTGCTCAAATTCATTTGGTATATTATTAAAATCAGAATTTCTGATTATTCCAGTGTTAATTATTAATATTACATAGTCTCAGAATCATTTTCTCAGCTGTCCCACAAAATGCAAAATATGGATCAAATATCATTTATAAAAAGCTTACCTTCCATTCCTCGTTTTCTATCTTCAAAATGACTCTTCCATCTTCCGTAATGACCTTTTCTTTTAGCTTAGTTAAACTTACTCGTTCTTCCCAGATCCGCACTAGCCTAGGAGACCCAGAAATCCTTTTAGTTCATAGATAATGATATTGGTAGTATTCACTTATATATATATATATATATATATATATATATTTAAAAAGATCCACCAAAAACAACCACTTGACCAATGGTATAGACATTTGGGTTAATTTCACTTTTGGGTTATTATGATAATACTGCCATGAACATTTATGTACAAATTTTTGTGTGAACATATATTTATCTCTTTGGGGTATATTCTTAGGAGAATTGCTGGGTCATATGGTAACTCTATGTTTAACATTTTTAAGGAACTGCCCAACTGCTTCCAACTTGACTGCACCATCTTGTGTCCCCACCAGCAGTGTATCAGGGCTCTGATTTCTCCATATCCTTACCAATATTTGCTATTGTCTCTCTTTTTTATTATAGCCATCTAGTGGGTGTGAATGGTATCTCATGTAGGTTCGATTTGCATTTTCCTGGTGAGTAATCCATGGATATTTAATAAATTTGTTAATGGCTTGCAAAGAATACAGTTCAACTTCAGAGTTAAATTGCATCTTACTACCTGCTAATTTTATCCAGACTTCATTTTTTAGATATAAAAATGTATAAAATATTTGTTATTCTGGAGCACATTCCTATTGATTTTCGGTCCATTACAAACATACATAAAGCTATATAACTCTGTAAAAATAACTAGCAAAACGTTGCAAAAAGTTTTCTGTATCTATCCTAGAAAATTTTTCATCCATGAACAAGAGAATAAGGAGCTTCCAGATAGCTGAACACATGGAGGAGGTTCTGGGAGGGTGGCACACCTGGGAAAGATACTGAACTCGTGTTTGGGTTTGCAAAATACTTCTTTAGTGTCTGTGTATTTTAATCTGTCACTTGCTTGAAATTTAACTAATCTGCTAACAAGTGCCCTGTAGCAATGGGCTATGTATGGCTCCCTGATCTGAACAGCTAAGCTTCCCATAGATACGGATAACTGAGAAAAAAATGTTTAATGTCAGCTATTCAATTATATCACTTTTTATAAAAATAGAACTATCCAAACAATAGGCATAATGGTTATTAATGAGTTATTACTCACTAAGAAAGAATTTAAATTCAGAGCAAGATCTGAGGACAATTATTATACAATTAGGTATCTTGTTCCTTAAACTTCAATTTAAGTTAAAGAATTAATCAAGTACAAATTGCATGCCAAATACTATACTAGACATTGAGGATACAGAAAGCTCTGTCCTTAATGAGTCTATAATCAGGCTAACTATTATTAGACAAATTTATTTCTATCTCTATAATGGCTCCATATTTCTCTCTCTCTTTTTTTTCTTTTTTTTTCAGATGGGGTCTTGCTGGTTTTCAACTCCTGGGCTCAAGCAATCTTCATGCCTCAGCCCCCCAAGTAGCTGGGATTAAGGTGTGCACCACTATGCCATGCCAGGCTCTGTGTTTCTGTTATCTCTGTCCAGAATGTATCGATTATTCATTTGATTACTTTGGGGAAGACACCTCACCTCTGTGAACCTTGCCTATAAAATGTGGGGATATAATTAAATGATATATGGTTCTCTTCTAGCTCTAATATTCTATAATTCTTACACTGCTTATTTTAAGCTTGTGTTCTTTCGTGTCTTGAATAGAAATTTTCAAACTCCTTTAAAACCCTTTTATTACAGAATGAAGCCTTTACCAGATGTTGTCACACCAACTCTTATCTACCTAAGTGTTTGATTTCTTCAAGACAGCTTGGCCTCAAAAGGAAAACAGGGCAATTTTTGTTTAAATTTTAGGTTTTGGTTTTTTTTTAAGGTAAAGCGTTAGCCACTTCTTTTTAATGTTGCCCAGCTTGGCCTCAAGAACTCCTGGACTCAGGTGATCCTCCCATCTCAGCCTCCAGGTATCTGGGAGTACAAGCTTTGGTCACTTTTAGCTGAGAGAAGCAGTATTAGATTGCATTCTTATCTCTCTCACCCCTTGCCTGTGTACAGACTACTCTCAAGTCTTCTGTTCCTTTTGTCTATTCCCTGTTACTCGGTGAGATTTGCAGACCAGCAGCATTATCATCTCCTGGGAGCCTGTTAGAAGTCTAGGCCTTTTGGTCCTATTCCAGCCTTACTAACCCAGAATCTATGCTGTAACAAGATCCCTATGTGATTCCTACACAGGCAAGTTTGAGAAGCACTACTCTTCTTCAAAGCAGTGCAAAAAAAGAGAGGACAGTTCTTTTCTTTGGGTTATGTCTGGTCAGTTTAAATTCTGTGAATTTTCTGATTAGCACTTTTGTCTAACAATCAGCTTCTCTGCTTTACTCTTAAAGATCTATTGGATTCTTACCAGTTTGCATCAGTTATCATTGTTCATTTGTTCAACCATTTCTTTAGTGACGCTACAGGTTTTAAGCCAAACTTTGACCTAGATAGTTTACTTTTTTTTTCTTTCTTTTTTTTAGAGTCAAGGTCTCACTCTGTCACATAGGCTACAGTGGAGTGATCATAGCTCACTGTAACCTCGAACTCCTGGGCTCAAGTGATCCTTCCAGCTCAGCCTCCAAAGTAGTTGGGACTACAGGTGTGTGCCCAAACTTAGCTAATTTTTTTTATTTTTGAGATGGGGTCTTGCTATGTTGCCCAGGCCAGTCTAAAACTCCTGGCCTCAAGTGATCCACCTGCTTTATCACCCAAAGTGCTGGGATTACAGGTGTGAGCCAGGTTTTTCATTTTAAAATGGAGAAAATAGGCAGAGCACGGTGGGTCACGCCTGTAATCCTAGCACTCTGGGAGGCCGAGGCAGGCGGATTGCTCGAGGTCAGGAGTTCAAAACCAGCCTGAGCAAGAGCGAGATCCTATCTCTACTATAAATAGAAAGAAATTAATTGGCCAACTAATATATATAGAAAAAATTAGCTGGCATGTGGTGCATGCCTGTGGTCTCAGCTACTTGGGAGGCTGAGGCAGGAGGATCACTTGAGCCCAGGAGTTTGAGGTTGCTGTGAGCTAGGCTGACGCCATGGCACTCACTCTAGCCTGGGCAACAAAGTGAGACTCTGTCTCAAAAAATAAATAAATAAATAAAATAAAATAAAATGGAGAAAATAGTAGCACCTGTGTGTGGCAGAGACTATGCGCCACCCTTCCCGCCCTTCCTCCATATCTGTTACTCCTCTTCTTCAATAATAGAGCCTCTAGATTCAACTGGGCACAAGACCTCATTTGGCCATCCTTTCTCACAGCTAGATATAGGTTATGTAAAGTTTGGGCCAACAAAATGTTAGCAGAAGTAGTACTGTGCACAGCTTCCTGGAAGTACAACTTCCTGCTAGCTAGAAACAAGTGTGATGGCTGCAGTTGGTATATCTATTTTGGGCCATGAGGAGACTTTAAGAATGGAAACCAGGTACAGGTGAGCAACAATATGGAAGAAGCCAGAGTATTTGACTCAGTAGAGTGATATTCCAGCTCTGGATCACTTACCAAAAAAGTTAACAGATCTTGTTTAAGACATTATCATTTTGGCCTTTATCTCAGTGCAGTCTAACTTGATAATGACACTATGTTTCAGCATGTTGAGAAGATTAAATGAGATAGTACAAATAGAGCACTTAGCAGGGTCCTTAGTACACACTAAGTGCACAATAAGTGGCTGCTTAACCCTTGTCAATCATTGTTAGCATCATTATCATCCTTACTGCCTTTGCTGGGAAGAATGGTTCCTCCCCATCCAGATCTTTTGTTTTTACTGACAGATAGCAGACACAAATCATTGCTTATCAGTAACTCCCCCCCTTTTCTTTACTAGAAAAAATACCAGTTGTTTTCAAGTGTTTACCCTTCCCCCAGATAATCCAGAGATAAATCTTAATTTGTCTAAACCAATCATGCAGTCTCATTTCTCTGGAGGGTAACAGGGTTACATGTGTACAAATGACCCAATTCTAGTGAACAGGTTTGCTGGGGGGAGTCTGAAGAAGGTTTCCTCATTTTTAAAGAAGAAATAGGTGGCTGGGCCTGGTGGCTCACACCTGTAATCCGAGCACTCTGGGAGGCCGAGGTAGATTGCTTGAGGTCAGGAGTTTGAAACCAGCCTGAGCAAGAGCGAGACCCTGTCTCTACTATAAATAGAAAGAAATTAATTGGCCAACTAAAAAATATATATAGAAAAAATTAGCTGGGCATGGTGGCACATGCCTGTAGTCCCAGCTACTCAGGAGGCTGTGGCAAGAGGATTGCTTGAGCCCAGGAGATGGAGGTTGCTGTGAGCTAGGCTGACACCACGGCACTCTACCCCAGGCAACAGAGTGAGACTCTGTCTCAAAAAAAAAAAGAAGAAGAAGAAGAAGAAATAGGAAAAAAAATAGTTTCTACTCTTCTGAAACATAATGCTGCTTGGCTGTGATGCCTGGAAGTACATGAGTCATCTTGTGACACTGAGGGAAGCTAATCCCAGAAGCAAACTGACATACTCAAATTGGCAGTGAAAGGTGAAAGAAGCTGAGTCAAAGATTTGAGCCTTTGCATTGATTGACTACCTTTGGAATTGCCTTGCTTCCCTGTTGCTTAAACCATTTTTAGTTGAATCTTCTGTTATTTGCTAATGTCAGTTAGCAAATAACAGATATTAACAAATAACATTTGCTAATTTAATGTTTAGAAAGAGACCTAATGAATGAGAATTATAGGGAACTACATGGAATTCACGAGGAAAGGGTCTATTCTTGCAAGATTAGTACAATACTTTGGAGACATCTGATCAGGAAAGTGGGTGAGATTATCAAGGAGAATGAGGACATGAGAGCCATGCTATTTGAGTATAGCCCAGATCAAGGAATCAGGTGATCCCCAGAGACTTTGGCTGGAACTCACAGCTATTCAAACAGGTAGAAATCTATAGTACCTTCTACTGCCTGCTGTTGTTTTAGATGATTATATGGATATAATGCTGAACAAACAATCCTGAAAATTAGACTAAGTGATACTAATCAAATTTGGATGAATGTTAAACAGGGTTCTATGTGGGCATAGGATAACTACTGTTTTCACACACAAACACATATTTTGTGACTCCTATCACATAGCCACATTTAATTGAATCAGATGTTTCCTTTACAGATATTTTAAGTTTCTAGCAAATAAAAATCTATATCAAATTCAATAATAAGACACTTAAATGCTTTTGTATAATGATGGTGTTATGAATTTTCACTAATTCAAGATAATAAATGTTATGGCATACTTGTGTTGAAATTCTTTCTCCCGCTTCAAGTCTTCATTGTGTTTCTTTATTCTTTTTTCCCAAACTTCCTTTACGGTATTGACAGTCCCAGTAGAAACCACATTTTCTGTCATGATTTCTCTACATTGTCATAGAGTCGCCAACTTCATCAGGTTCTGAATAACTGAATCACAGATGCTATTTCAGAAAGGACCTAATTGTACCACAGGAAAAAAAAGCAATGTGTTTCAGAATGTTCATTGAGTGCCATAAGGATCATAATAACTAGTATTTATTGAATACTTCCCATAACTATTTTATATACTTTACATGCCATATCCCAATTAAAAATCCTCATAAAAATACTATGATATGAGTAATTTTATTGATACCAATATACAGATGAAAAAATTAAGCTTTAAAGAAGATGGGCAGCTGGATGTGGTGGCTCACGCCTGTAATCCTAGCACTCTGGGAGGCTGAGGCAGGTGGATTGCTCGAGGTCAAGAGTTCGAAACCAGCCTGAGCAAGACCCTGTCTCTACTAAAAATAGAAAGAAATTAATTGACCAACTAAAAATATATATACAAAAAATTAGCTGGGTATGATGGTGCATGCCTGTAGTCCCAGCTACTCAGGAGGCTGAGGCAGTGGGATCGCTTGAGCCCAGGAGATTGAGGTTGCTATGAGCTAGGCTGATGCCTCGGCAATCACTCTAGCCTGGGCAACAAAGTGAGACTCTGTCTCAAAAAAAAAAAAAAGGAAGATGGGCAATTTGCTTAAGGTTTCATATCGAATATGTGGTAGAGGTGGAAATTGATGCCAAGTCTACTTTCTTTGTTACCATGTAATTCACAATAATGGGAAAATGTCAACTGGTTGAAATGTCCAATTATAGGAAAATGGTTAAGTAATAGATATGTAAAATGTCACTGGCATCTGGATGCCATATGTACAAGCTGGAATTCAGTTAAGTGATAATATATTTAGATTATTTACTCTTATGTAAAATAAACTGCAAATGGACAGACACAATATTGAAGATTGTGACCTGAATCTCAGAAATGAGAGGAAAATAACAATAATAGGGAAATGGTTATATAAATTCTGATAGATCCATTTTATGGAATATCCTATAACCTTACAAATAAATGTATTGATTTTTCACCAAATTAGTAATAATCAACAAATTTGTTTCACAATCATTTGAATAATTTCTTCTTAAACTCAAGAATATAAAGACGTCCACAATAACCAATCCTATTCAATATTATACTGGAAAGCTATAATGCAAGAAAAGCAAATAGACAAGTACATAGTTGGAAAAGGAAGAAATGGAATTTGCAACAGCATAGGGAAACATGTATTCTCATACACCAATGGTGGCAGTATGTACTGTTATATTATTTTTTTTCCTCTTTTTTTTTAAATTTCATCGTATTATGGAGGTACAAATGTTGTTAAGGTTACATATATTGTCCTTGCCTCCCCTCCCGCCTCGAGTCAGAGCTTCAAGAGTGACCATCCTCCAGACGGTGCACATCTCACTCATTATGTATGTATATACCCATCCCCTCCACCCCCTCCTACCTGCCCGACACCCGATAAATTTTTTTTTTGACATTTTGGTTATATTTTATATCTTTGCCTCTCCCTAGGAAGGGTTAGAGGTATGCCCTTCCCCTCCACAATGCTCACCACATCCCTAAGATGTGGGTCTATACCCGAATCCCTGATGAACATTACCACCATTTGAGAACCATAGTTTTAATCAGTCAGTACCAATTTGATGGCGAGCACATGTGGTACTCAAAAGAGCTTAAGACATTCTATTATAAAGACATCTGCACCTGAAAGTTTATGACAGCACAATTCACTATTGCAAGGACATGGAAACAACCTAAGTGCCCGTCAATTCATGAGTAGATAATCAAAATTTGGTATATGTTCACAATGGAATATCACTCAATTCTAAGAAACGACAGTGAGCTAGCACCGCTTATACTATCCTGAATTAAGTGTTAGCCCATTGTCAAAAGTGAGGTGACACAAGATCAGGAAAATGGGCTCCACATGTTATACTCTTTATGGAGAGAAACTTGGTAATATCTGTCAAACTCAGAAATGCTCATTCACACGTCTAGAAATGTATACTTCAAATATTTTCAGAAAACAATGACATATTACAAAGTTACTCATTGCAGTGTTTTTTATATCAGCAAAATATTGGAAACAAACTAACATTCCATCAGGAAATTATAGTATAGCTATATCATGGGAAATTATATAGCTCCAAATAAAGGAAAAGCATTTTATATATTGATATCCATAATCTCCAAAATATATAACTATGACACAATTAACTTAATCTAATGATTAGATTTTTGCTATTATGAGCAATACTATTTCTAAAATTCTTGTTTTTATCTTCTTGGCGCTCAAGTGGAATTATTTCTATTGGGTACATATCTAGGATTAGAAATGCTGGATCACAGTGTATGTGAATGTTCTAATTTATAAGATAGAGCCAATTTGTTTTCCAAAATGATTGTGTCCATTTATACTCTTACTATCACTGTATAAGGGTCCCCACTGATATCCTCACCAACACACTACTGCATAAAATGATATCCCAATGTGGCATTAACTTGTACTTTCCTAATTAGTAAATGTTCCAAGTTAATACACAAAGATTGTCCAATTAAGTAAAAGACAAAATCCTGAGTGTTGTTTATGAAAGGTACACCTAAAAAACAAAGATAGAGAAAAAAGTGGAAAAAAGTGAACAGTTCAATAGAAAAAGATCTACTCCTAGTAATATACCAAAGACAAATGAAAACATATTCTCAAAAAACTCATACATGAGTGTTGATAGCAACGTTATTCATAATAGCCAAAAAACAGAAGCAACACAAATGGCCATCTACTGATAAATGGATAAACAAAACATGGTAGATCCACACAATGGAATATTATTTGGTCATAAAAATGAATGAAGTATTGATACATGCTACAGCATATATAAACTTTGAATAAAATTATGCTAAGTGAAAGAAACCAGACACAAAAGGCCACATATTTTATTGATCCCATTTATATGAAATGTCCAAAACAGGCAAATCCATAAATAAAAAAAGTAGATCAGTGGTATCTATGGGCTTTGGAGAGGAGGAAATAGGGAGTAACTACTAACTGTATAGTTTCTTTTTCGAGTGATGCAAATTTTCTAGAATTAGATAGTGTTAATGATTGTATAATTCTGTGAATATCCTAGAAGCCACAGAATTATACACTTTAAAAGAGAAAATTTTTATATGTGAATTATATTTCAGATAATTCTTTTTAAGAACTGAAAAAGATATACCATTGCAAACATTACATACCATGGAAATGCTAATCAAAAGAAAGCTGATATCTATATTTATAGCATATGGACTTTAGGCACAAGTACAATACAGGTACAAAAAAAATCACATCATGATAAAAAATTCAATTCATAAGAAATAAAAAACAGCCTTAAATTATATGCCCCTAATAACATGGATTCCAAATATACAAGGGAAAATTGACAGCACTAAAGGAAAAAATCAAGAAATCTTGGCCAGGTGCAGTGGCTCACACCTGTAATCCTAGCACTCTGGGAGGCCAAGGCGAGTGGATCGCTCAAGGTCAGGAGTTTGAAACCAGCCTAAGCAAGAGTGAGACCCATCTCTACTAAAAATAGGAAGAAATTAGCTGGACAACTAAAAATATATAGAAAAAATTAGCCAGGCATGGTGGCACATGCCTGTAGTCCCAGGTACTTGGGAGGCTGAGGAAGAAGGATTGCTTGAGCCCAGGAGTTTGAGCTTGCTGTGAGCTAGGCTGATGCCACAGCACTTTAGCACGGGCAACAGAGTGAGACTCTGTCTCAAAAAAAAAAAAAAAAGAAAGAAAGAAAGAAATCTGGCATTGAAGTGAGGAATCTTAACCATCTTCTTAGCAATTGATTGAACAAGCAGTAAAATGTAGGAAGAATACTGAAGATTTAAACTACACAATGTCAGATATCATTTCCCATGTAAGAAAAAAATAAAAGAAAAGAAAATGAAATTTTAAATAATTAAATAAAAAATAAACTACACAATGAATAAACTTGACCTAAATGATATATATAGAAAACTCTAGCCCACAATGACAGCATTGTAGGATATTCATACTTTTTCCAAAAACATATGGAAGAGTCACTGAAAAAAAATTATATACTGAGGCCATAGAGCAAGTGTCAACTGATTTCAAAGGACTAAAGCGCACAAAGTATTTTTTTCTAATCAATGTAAACTTGCTAGAAATCAATAATGGAAGATGCCTAAAGAAAAACCCATATTATTTCAAATGAAAAACACATTTCTAAATAATTTATGGTCAAAGAAGCTAACAATGAAAATAAAACATTTTGAACTGATTTATAATAACAATACCTCAAATCAAAATGTATGGAAAACAGGCAATGTAGTAGTTACAGGGAAATTTCTAACCCTATATATACATTTTGGAAGAAATAAGGCTAACCATTTTACATCCATCTCAAGAAGTTAGATAAGTAAAGAAAAACAAACCCAAAGAAAGCAGAAGGTAGCCAGGCACTGTGCAGTGGCTCATGCCTGATAAAAATGAGAGCATACATCTATACAATAAGAAAGATAAAATAGGATACAATAATAATAATAATAATCTAAAATCTCCCCACAAAAAAAACACTAGGCCTAGAGATAATGTCCATGGCAAATTCTACCAAATATTTAAGGGAAAAATATAACACTAATCTTAGCATAAACTCTTCTAGAGAATAGAAAATAAGGCAATACTCCACAATTCACATTATGAGGTTAGCATAACCTTGACACCAAACCCTAAGAATGGTAGTTCTAGAAACAAATACAAGACTAATCTCACTACCAAATATATTATACTCAAATTTATAAATGTGTGGATTAAAACCATAATGAGATACCAATACACACCTATCAGAATGGCTAAAATTAAAAAAGCTATGCCAAGTGTTGGTGAGAATTTGAGTTACAGAAATTTTCGGAGGCCGAGGCGGGCGGATAGTTTGAGCTCAGGAGGTCGAAACCACTCACTCTAGTCTGGGCAACAAAGTGAGACTGTTTCAAAAAAAAAAAAAAAGAAAAGAAAAGAAAAAGAAATTCTCACACACTGCTGGTGTATTGGTGGAGTTGTATATTAGTGTAACTACTTTGGAATAGAATTCTTATCAATTACCTATACTGAAGATATGCACAGTTTATGATCCAGCAATTCTATGCAAAGGTATATACCTATATCTCCACCAGGAAACATGAACAGGTATGCCCTAGCAATATTTTTCAAAATAGTAAAAAATTAAAAATAAAATCATTTTTAAAAAAGCAATGAAAATATCTATCCAGTGATTTATAAAAATAGCTAGAATTAGGGGTCAAAAAGCTGTGTGACATTGGAGATATGATGGAAAAGATGAAATTTCTTCTCCCAACAAGCAAAAAGTAAGTGCAGTGGTGTCATCATAGCTCACTGCAACCTTAAACTCCTGGGCTCATGCTATCCTCCTGCCTCACCTCCTGAGTAGCTGGGACTATAAGCGTGCCCCACCATGCCCAGCTAATTTTTCTATATTTTGTAGAGACGGAGTCTCACTCTTACTTAGGCTTGTTTTGAACTCCTGGCCTCAAGCGATCCTCCCACGTCAGCCACCCAGAGTGCTAAAATTACAAGCATAGGCCACTGTGCCCGGCCTAACCTCTTCTAAGTTAATGATTTTTAAACTAATATTATGCAGTGTATGTGTGTGAGAGACAGAGGGACAGAGAGAAAGAGAAGGAGAAGAACTATAAATTACAGAAGAAAAAAATTTTAAATTTCAGGATTAATACATAATTAACAATATGCAGAAAATTATTAGGAGAGTGCCCCTATTTCTAAGCAACACATGCAGAATTTACTCAGGAACAAAACATGAGATCTTTTTGCCATTCATATGCTGGTGATCCAACTACCTGGGCATATTACAGTCAATTCATGATTTATTATTTCACATTTTAGAAAGTTTGAAGTTTTTCCTATACTTCAAATAGTATCAAATAATAAAAAATATTTTAAAATCTCAAGTAGCTACATGTACGTGTATATTTTACTAGGTATATATAACCATTCATTCGCTAATTCATTTCCTCATTTGCCATTAAACTTGGGTCATCCATCCGTTTTCCTATGATGACCAATTTCCCTTAGAGGAGCACAGGTCAATAACAACATATGGATTTCTTCCTCCAGCACAGGATCTTATTCTCTACTTGGATTATTACCGAAACAGAAAAGCACATAGCATGGCAGTGAGGGAAGCATGGCAATATCACAATTGGGAGATCAGCTTCCCAAATGAACAAAACACGACAAAAGAAATACAATCTCAGAAGAAATGCTTCTTACTTCTGGGGAAATCTATCTTCCAGAGGCCAATTATATGAGTGACTAAGACCCTCCGGCCAAAACTTTCAAGTTCAATTCCAGTTTGATTAGACATTCCAGCAAATACAGACACAGTAAAGGCATCATCAGCACTCTATTTATATGAGAAGAATTGAGGGGAAATATTTGTGAAAAATACTTACCATTGTCGGTGGTTGCCGAAGCTGATATGCCCAAAGTTAGTGACAATCAGCTAGGAGTGGATTACAGGGGGAATTATTTTCAGTGTGGCTCCCAATGATTAAAATCCTCATTCAGGCTGTAACCAAATGAAATGTAATGTCAGCCTAGCTCTAATTTTAGTTCACGGACAAAGCTAAGAATAGAAAGAATCACATGGCGCTTCTGTGCAAAGGATCAGCTGATAACGTATGTGAGTATATTCTGTGAACTGTAAAATGCTAATACTACAGACATTATAAAACTATAAAGCACAACTATTTCTAAGAAAAATTATTAGAAAAATAATTCCTAATGAAAGTCCTCCTACTTCCCATGACTTACACATTTTAAGTATTTAATAGAATTTAATGCATCTACTCCAAGCAGAGAAACTTAAACATATGCTGATGTATGGCATAACAGAAGTCCTACGTAGTAAACCATAGATCCGCAAATATTTGAACTAAAGGCATGGATGCTTTAGAAAAAGAAAAAGTGAACATGTGAATAAACATGAGTAACAGAGGAGTCTCCAACTTCTACTCCACCCACACTTCAAATTGAATTATCTCTTAGCTTTTATCTCTTTGGCTTTTCTAGGCAAGACTTAATTCCAGGTTCTTTAAAAAAAAAACTATGTATTTATTTTTTTTTTGAATTTGTAACATACGCACATGGAACACAATTCAAAAGATCTGTCCCCTATCCCTGCCTCCAGCCATTTAGTTCTCTTTTCTGAAGGCAACTACTATTGCCAGTTACTTGTGACCCTCCCAAAGATAGTCTATGAATTTATAAGCCTAAATATTGCATGTATTCCTTAAAAGGACACATCTGTACTGGCATGCACACACACTAAAATGGTAGCATACTATATACATTGTTCTATGATGGGTTTCCTTTCGCTCAGAATATCTTGGAAATTAAAATATAGCACCTAAGCAGTAGTAATCAGAATATTGTGCAAACTTCCTGGGGGCAATTTAAACCACAAATCAGAAGAAGAGAATAAAAGACATTACAGTCTTGCCTCAAAAGAAAAAACAATATCCCTCTCACACCCACCAAATAATGACACAGAAAAGGCACTGGCTTCCTATATGTTGAATGAGTTATTTTTAACTGCATAACGAATTAAAAAGATATGCTCCTCCTGCTTTTTATGCACTGCTTTTAGTTCTACAGAAGTAAAAGCTATACTGAATTTAAAATCTTTTTGCATGGATAATTCTGTGTAAATTACATAATACTTTGTTTCTAGGATATTGAACTCTTTAGTGTATTAAGATACACCCCAAATGGCAACTACAAAATTGGTTTTTCATATTTCTACAAATACTATGCAGAACCTACTATCTATTAAATGTGGAAGCTGTGAGAATTTTTTTGTATTTAGAAAGTATGACAAGCTGAAAATAAACATCTAATAGAAATAATATAATTCTATTAAAATTGGAGTACACTGCATTTATATATATCATTATTTCCTTGTCTTTTTTTTTTTTTTTTTTTTTTTTTGAGACAGGATCTCGCTCCCTCACCTGGGCTACCAGGCTAGAGTGCAGTGGCGCTATCATAGCTCACTGTAGCCTACAACTACTGGGGTCAAGCTACCCTCCTGCCTTAGCCTCCCAAGTAGCTGGGACTACAGGTGGGCATCATCATGCCCAACTATTTTTAATTTTTTGTAGAGATGTGGCTATGTTGCCCAGGCTGGTCTCAAACTCCTGGTCTCAAGCCATCCTCCCACCTTTGCCTCTCATATATCATCATTCCTAATATACACCTATTTATTAGAAAAACTAGTGCACTAAAGGACAGTGGTGGTTTTTAAAAATGATGACTTTGCTGTAGCAAGTTTGTCCTGCTCTGTGCAAGCAACATTTGAACCGATGGGGCACTTCTAATCCTGTGCTAGCAACACAATGGGACCAAGGCCAGGTTCTTTTGTGCAATTTGCAAAGCCTTTGGTTTGTAGACTTGTTGGTATGGTGGCTTAGTTCATCAACTTTGAACATTTGAATGTCTAGTGTTCCAAACTGTTAGTCATGTTCCAATTTATATTCATCCTGCAGTTTTCATTAACCTAATTACACCCGCCATCAACTTGGTTTACTTGCCTTTGTTACTGCAGTTGGAACTCTAGCTGCATTTTTCCAAGAAATTAAATTGCTAGGTTTTTACAGCCGACTATACTCTAGCAACTTCTGAACAGACTTTATAATCACAGTTTTTTGGGACTTGGCTTTTTATCACATTTTAGAACTATTATAAAGTTGTCTTTCAGCAAACTTCAAATTAAATAGCTTTTCCCAAGCTTAACACAGTCCAATGGCTGCTCTGGGGGTGTACATGGGTGGAGGCACTTACGTTGCCATGGGAGGAGGTTCTGCCTCCTGCTCAGCCCGATGTAAGTGTGAACGCCTTTCTCTGACTGGCCCCACTTTCCGCCATATTGAACTTAAATTTTCAATCCCCCACCTGCTCTCATTTCTTCTGTCTTGTCCCTTGTTAAGCCCCACACAGCTGTTCCCCATGCTTTGCACTGTAACATTCCACATGGTACTTCGTAAAAGCCTGATATAGATGCCCTCTTTATAACAGAATTGCAATTATCCTTGCCATGCTTCAGTTGTTTCTGTGGCTCTTTTCTGGACTGTCTCCAAATTCTCCTGCTCGGTTTTGGCAAGCTGGCCTGGAGTTCTCTCACAAGGGTCTGGCCAGCACATGAATTTGCTTATGGCTAAAAGGCCATTGTGCTCAATACTGGGACTGCCCCATATTGAATTAATTTTCATTTCCACATTATTCTGAATGTGCAAACATCAGGGATTCATGCTACCTTCCGAGACTGTTTAAATGGTAATGCCTTCTGTAACATAAAAGAGCCCGTGGTTATCTTGATGGGATAACAATGATAATGTGAACCATGGCAGGTTTGGCATGAATAGCTCAGAGTTGACCTGGTCTGTCTGATGAGATGTCACTGAATTGTTTGGTGATCTGGAGATGCTAAAGTGTTGGAAATGAGTGTCTAGAGCTCAGGAGAGAGGCAGGTCCAGAGAGAACTATTTAGGAGACATCTGGGTGGAAGATGTGGCCAAACCTTTTGTCAACACTGTGATTACAGGTGAGCAGCGGGAAAAGAAGCCAGGATAGCAAGGAGTTAAAGACCAATTCAGGAAATTTATCAGGAAGGAGAAAGATAGGAAATTTATTCATGTAGTGGCAGGTAGAGGTAACAATGTGAGAAAAGTGTCCTGAGTCTTCTTTTAGGCAAAGGGAAATAAGCTATTAAGGAAGAAGGTAGTTTTTGTTTGTTTGTTTTAGGGATTATTTAAAAATATACGAATATAGTTCTATTTATTTTATTAGGGCAGCACTAGTCAATAGAATTTTCTGTGATGATGGAAATATTCTATATTTGTGCAATCCAATATGGTAGCCACTAGCCACATGTGGCTATTGAAATTTAAATTTAAATTAAATTAAAATGTAGCTTTTCAGCTATTCTAGCCACTTGAATTGCTCCATAGCCCCATTAGTTTATTACAATTTAAATCTCAATAGCCACACGTGGCTAGTGGCTACCACACTGAACAGCTCAGAGTTAGTGTATTACTAACTAGACTAGCAGATTAATCTCAAAATATCAGTGTCTTAAAAAAAATAAGTGTATTGTTCAGCTGCATTACATCCAACCCATCAGTACTAGAGTGTGGAGAAGTGGGCACTCTGCTTGACCTAGCCATTAGCAGCACTGATCCCTTCCATCTAGCGTGGCTGCCATCTTCAACATGCACCCTTCAAGGTCGCTGTGTAGGGGAAGAGAGAGTGTGGAGCCTATTTGGGAGGTTTTCTGTAGAACACATCTGGAAGTGGCCTACATATACCCATATTCTAATGGCTACAAATAAATGATATGGCCCTACCTAACTGCAGGCTAGCCTGGAAAAATACATAGCCATGTGCCCAGAAAGAAAAGGAACCAGCTTTATAGACACATAACATTACTCTGCCACACTGAAATGTGCAGAGAGTTCTGGGACCAGTCTCCAACACTGCCTCCATAGGGAACTGGAAATAAATTTTAACCAGTGTACTCACAGAGTAAATCTGGTTTAGTTCTGGATGTAAAGAAGACATTGAAGAATCAAAATGGGGCGATGGGGGTTAAACATGGACCAGGGATCAGAAGGAAGAGACGGAATTAATAATAGAGAGTAGAAAGTTTGACTTTTGCTGATGGAGAACCCCTTCTTCTTCAGAAAGAGAAACAAAAGGAAAGAAAAAGTGTGAGAATAGATTTTGAGGTGCAAGGGTAGAAATTAAAGATTCTTAGGTTGATTCACCTTGTCTGTTCTGTAAGATAGAAGGTGAGGATATTTACTTATTATGACAAGGCTGGGAAGATGTTTGAGTAGGTGGGTAAAATGAGCAGAAAAGGGCTGGGCATGGTGGCTCACACCTGTAATCCTACTACTTTGGGAGGCAGACAAGGGAGGATTGCTTGAGCTCAGGAGTTTGAGACCAGCCTGAGCAAAAGCAGAGACCCCGTCTCTACTAAAAATAGAAAAATTAGTCAGGCATAGTGGGGTGTGCCTGTAGTCTCAGCTACTTGGGAGGCTGAGGCAGGAGGATCGCTTGAGCCCAGGAGTTTGAGGTTGCAGTGAGCTATGATGACACCTCTGCACTCTACCCAGGGCGACAGAGGGAAACTGTCTAAAAAAAAAAAAAAATTAGTGGAAAAGACTTCTGACAGGCACTCTGAAGAATGCTTGGGTATTTGCCATACAATTTGCAAGGGATTTGTTTCAGATCAATCTGGTGACCCAGATATCTCATAGAATGCGTCAGGTAAATTCAAGTATGTATCTTCTTTTTCTCATGATAAATATCCCTATCATTGGCCAACAGAAGAGGGTTCTGTTGATCTTCTGTTTTGACCAAATAATTAGGATTTGAAAATTTAGCTTAGACTTTTTTCTCCTGCCATAATTAATGTGCCAGCATAAGAGCAGAACATTAAGCTAGTGAGTAGATGAACATGCAACAATCTTAAGAAAAATCAAAATACAGCATATTAAAGCT